ACAGTAACGAGTCAAGTGATGAACAGTAATGTGGTTCAATTACCGTGGACCAACTTCAGAAAGTGTCGCATAATTTATTCATGCGATGCGAAGCATGTTTGCAAGCAGAAGGGGGTCACTTTCAGCACCTGTTATAAAGCACGGTAAGTTTGTGTTATCTTTTTACAGTATTCTTATAAATGTGTGCATGTACAGAAACTGATGTAAGGGTATCAGCGACAGGACTGCACTCTCGCTAGCAGGGAGGGACACAGTAGTCGCGGAGAAACATTCCATCCGCTCTACGCTGCTGCCCCGGTTTCCTCAATCTTTGAACACCCTGTATTACTAATTATGAATACTGTAACGTGTTTCGTTACTGAAGACGCCGTAGAGATGGTTAATTGGTTTATTTAACAATCTTCAAATAACGGCTACAATTAATTATCACAATGTTACTGGTTTCCACACTTTACAAACCCTAGAACAAAATCTCTTAACACTCTCTTCGAGAGTCTTCACGTACTAATAATGCGGGAGCTATACAAGTCTCCCTGAATTACACTCTCCAGATATGACTGGTGATCACTGGTTATCGCACACTCGCAGGCTGCTATGTTTCAACTGACTGTGAATAGCCTTCGCTGCTTCTCATGTAGCCTCGATCGGACAGTCGTCGCCTGGTGCCTTGTTGCTAGCCACGCTGTCCGGAGTTGTTGACGGCTGCCTAGTAACCGCGATATCCCTCGGTGACGTCACCGCGTTGACTTGCGTTGCCTAGCGACCAGGATGCTAGGACTCGGCTAACATCCGCTCGCTTCGGCTTCGCTCGGCGCATCACGGCTGGCGGAAGGTGGGGGAAGGAGGGGCGTCATTCAGAGCTCAACATGTCACAATATATTTTTTTAAAAATGAAGTGATTTCGAATATTTCGAATATAAGCTGCACCCCAGTTTTCCTCTTGAATTTTTGGCAAAAATGTGCGGCCTATACATGCGTAAATACGGTATATCTTATAAATTGATTCATCTAATCTGGAACCCATTAATTGTCACATTACCAGAATATGTGACAGTATAATGAACTTGCTGTACCCTATGAATTCAGCTGGCTTTTAGTTCTCTAGGTTGAAGACTTC